ATGGGATTAACACATTGATAATCACTACGAGGCCACTGACTAATATCAAACTTTAGGAAGTTTGGTCCATGCCACCAAAGGTTATGATCAACTAACTGGGTAGGTAGTAACCCTCTTGAAGCAGCATCAGCTGGATTGGTTTTTCCAGGAACATGTTTCCACATAGAAGGAGGTAAAACTTCTAGAATTTCAACAACTCTGTTACATACATAGGTTTTAAGTTGATGGGGTGGTGTATGTAACCATGACAGAACCGTACTGCTATCAGTATAACATATGGTATCATAAGTGGGCAAATTGGATAGAAAGTCATTCAATGACCTTATTAGCCTGGACAGAAGCAAAGCACCATTTAATTCCAACCGAGGAATTGTCACCGGTTTGAGTGGAACAACCTTACTTTTAGATTTGAGTAGGTTAACATTTACTTGATTGTCAGAAGACTTTACCCTAAGGTAAACACATGCTCCGTAACCCTTTTCACTTGCATCACAGAAGCCTATCACCGAGATTTGGTCTGGGTCCCTGAAACTTATATACCTGGGTATTCGGATCTTTTCTATTTCCTCCAGCTGAGAAAAAAATTCCAGCCATAACTGAGCCAAGGGAGCAGGGAGATTTTCGTCCCAATCAATGCCAGCAAGCCAAAGCCTTTGAATGAAATACTTTATCCAAAACGTAACAGGAGTGAGATAACCATTTATGTCATAAATGCGCGCGACTTGTGACAACACACCTCTTTTCGTAGTTACTGGATTTTCATTGGACAACTTGTAACAAAATACATCGGATGTAGGGTCCCATAGAAAACCTAAAAGTTTAATGCAATGGGATGATTCAAAGGATACAAAAACATTTTGTTCTTCATCAGGAATGTGTGATAACACATTTGGACTGTTACTAGCATACTTTCTGAGTGAAAATCCTCCTTTACTTAGCAAATTAGTTACTTCATGGTACAACTGAACAGCTTCCTGTTCTGTATTAACTGCACATACCATGTCATCAATATACATGTTGGACGTGAGGGCCTTTGAGGCAACTGGGTAGCTGTCCCCTTCATCCGCAATTAACTGTTTTATTGTTCGTTGAGCTAGAAAAGGACTACAGGTTAATCCAAAAGGCAGAGTTGTAAGTTCCCATTCTGTAATAGGTTGACTAGAATCATTTCGCCACAATAAATGTGTGTACTTAGTGTCATTAGGATTAAGACCTATACATCTGTACATCTGTTTGATATCACCTATTAGAGCTATGGGGTTCATTCGAAAATATAACAAGATCTGAGATATATCAGATTGTAATTTAGGACCTGATAATAGAAAATCATTTAATGATTTGCCCGTATTACTTTTTTCACTAGCATTGAAGACCACTCGCACTTGTGTAGTTGTACTTTCCTTGACAACAGCATGATGAGTTAATAGATAATCTACTCTTGTAGTGGCAGGACGCATATGCCCTTGTGTTACATAGTCTTCTAAATTAGCATTGTACTGGTTTTGGAAATCAGGAAATTTTGCCATTCTTCTTTCTAAGCTAAGAAGGCGTTTATGAGCTACCTGTCTTGTGGATCCTAAATCATCTGGAGGTACAGCTCCCTTGAATGGAAGAGAAACTTGATATCTCCCATTACTATCACGAGTGGTGGTTTCTCTGAAAACCTTTTCACAGAAAACATCATTATCATCTGTGGGAACTACATGAGTGGGTTCTTCAGACTCCCAAAATCTTCTTAACATATCATCAAGGGATGGTGTTTGGGTAAACATGGTTTGAGCGACAGAAGAGTTTTGAACAATGGGAATTTTACCAAAAATTATAAATCCAAAAATGGTATCTAAAGCTGCTGGAGAACCTTTGATATGCACCAAACTCTCGGAGAGTATGTCGGAGTAATGTTGAACACCTAAGAGGACATCAATCGATCCAGGTTTATCGAATTCGGGATCAGCTAGTTGTATATTACCAAACCTGTTGTGTATACTTGGGTCTAGCTTGGTTTTTGGCATGTTAGATGATATAGTTGGCAAAACTATAGCTTCTACTGACAGAATGGGGTCTTCCCTATGGAGCGGAACAATGGAGCAAGATACACAACCCCGATTATTAGAGAATGAAGATGATCCAACACCTACCACATCAACTGAGTACCTTTTGCGGGGTAATCGTAAAGTTTGTGCTAGGGACTCTGTAATAAATGATGACTCACTGGCAGGATCAACAACCATACGACATTTCACCCAGTCACCTGTAGAGGACATAACTCGAGCTTGGACTGTACCTAACAACCCAGTTGTACTTTGTTTGTGTGCTTGTGATTTCACATGACAATTTAATGCATTAGTGGATGGCTCGTTACTTCCAGGAACTTGAGTAGGGAGGGTTTTACTGGTTTCAGTGCTACATTGTGGTATTTGTGGTGTGTCACGGTGCAACAAGGAGTGATAGTTTTTGTTTTTACATGTTCGACAACTGAACTTACTTCTACAGTTAGCACGTGGGTGTGGCCCTAAACAAGCATAACACAGCTTCAAATTATTTGCTGTCTCGAGTCTTTGTGTAGGAGACATTGCAATGAACCTTTCACAGGAACTTACTTTATGTGTATCCTGATTTTTACACAATGGACACTTAACCTTATCATTGTACATTTCTACCCCTTTGGTTTGAGGTGTGCTACCTTTTGGTTCTTGAGCGTTAGACATAAAAGACTTAGTAGTTGAACTTTGTTTGATACTTTTATTGGATTTTCCACTTTGGGGAGAGTAGTTGGGGTTTGTATTTGGCTTACTTACATTGGGGGCCTGCACCAAGGAGGCAACTTTATACTGCTCATATACAAACAATGATGAGTCCTTAAAAGTAGGAAATCCTTATGAGAATTCTTATCTTCGAATAAACGCTTAGTGTCAGGATCAAGAACATTCATGGCTAAATTGAATACAACGAAATCAGCTAAATCAGGAATTTTCAAAGCTTTCAGGGATTCATACTGAACGCAAAATACATCTATAAACTGTCTTAAGTTGTTAGAAGAACCATTCATGAATGGTTTAAACTGAAGTAGTTTATTCAGATAGTGTGTACCCACTAACCTCTTATCTGTATACCTTTCTACTAGCTTATCATATGCTGCTTGATAATTCTCCTCATTAAAATCAAAGTGATCAATAACTGATAGAGCAGGTACCTCTAAATATGATTTCAAAAAAGAAAACTTTTGTATAGGAGCTAACTCGGTTTCATGCACAAGTGTATCAAATAAAGACCTAAAAGCTGGGAACTTTTCCAAATCACCTTTGAACTTTGGAATGTCAATTGGGGGTAATTTTGGCCTCAGTTGTTTTACATCATGAGTAATAGGAAGTACAACATCTTTTTTTCGATTATCTAGAATCAACTGACTTTGAGCAACAACGTTATAATACAAATCCTCATATGCATCAGAGGTACTTTCAATGGTCACTGCAGACTCTATTATTAAATTTAATCTTGCTAACTTATCTTGAATTTCATTGAATAACGTATAATCACTTTCAACCTTTTGTGCTCTCGCAATAAATACATTTTCATTTTCTGGTAACTTCTTAATTAAATCATAAGTAGTTTGTAGTTTACGAAATAATCTCTCACGCTTCTCAACACAAGCCTTACTTTCTAACTCCTCTTTAGTACCCATCTTAATTAAATCTATAAATCAATAATTTTATAGTTTGAAAGACAAAACCACTTAAATAAGTTGATTTATTTACAAATAACAATTTATTTATATATTAATTCTTCTTTTCTTTTCATGAAAATTAAAAGAGAAATTTACAGGGAAATGCATGAGCATTAGCAACCTTGAATGAACAATAGCTTGATAAGCTTATCTCTCCCAGACATGAAAGACACTATTGAATTTTGTACAAATAAATAAACCCTTTAAAGTCACCAAACTTATTTATTTATTAATATAACTTATCCTGGCTCCGACAGGACCAAATGTTCGGACCAATGCCCGTGTTTGACTTTAACTGACTTTATTTTAAACATACACTTAAGTGGACTGTATTATCTGACTTGCTTTGGTGACTTATTTGGGGCTAGACATGAAGAACAATACATACATTTGAAACAATTGGTTTATTAAGGCTTTCACTCATCACAGTTAACATGAATTGTAGTTTACTTTTACCTAGAAATTAAGTGTACCTTTTATCTAACAGTAATATTTAACTTTATTTAGCTTCATTAGTTTAAATCTGGCCAGATGCATTTATTTCCCCAATACTTAAAAGTGGTTAAATGGACTTGGAGGAAGGAAGGGAAGTGGCCACATAATGTCTGTTGAAGTTACTGATGCTAATAATGTTCACTTATGATGTTGGAGTGATCTTACCCACTTTCGAAGATCTTTACATCTTTATAGGAAGTTATTAAAGAAAATAATTACTTGAAGCACTACATATTTACATTTACTTTAAACCAATACTTAGAAACTTTAACACTGCACCAAACAAAACCCTAGACATGTTGCTTGTCTGAAAACTTTTCCAGAAGAGAGAAAGTAGATAAGATCACCCACTCCACCAAAGTTCAGGCTTTGCCCACCAGAGTTCAGCACCAATCAAACACAAAACACTGCATTACTTAGTTCACTCACTTTCCACCAGAGTAAGGAGATTGGAGGGAAATAAGGATGGCCCAAACAGTTATACTAAGTGTAGAAGAATAAATAATACATATTTTTTATGGTTTTTTTATGTTAAAGCCATAGAATTTTTAAATATATGTTTCATAATTTATTAGTGAAACAAGTTTAGCTGCAATAATACCTGTAGCAACATAAACCTAAGACAAAGGAAATGGTCATTAATTTGGCTTAGGCTAAAATATATGTGGGTGGTAATTTAATCTATTTCTAACCGAAAATCACCCACAACCAATTAAACCTAGACCTAGATGCAATAAAATTTGTAATGCACATCATTGATAAGATTATCCACATTTGACAGGAATTGAAAAAGTCAGCTGCCTGGAAAACTCAGGTGGAAGTGTACAAAAAGCAAATAGCAGAACTTCATAGCAAATACAACGAAGAAACTAAACGAGCAGACAAATGTGAATTTGACTACAAAAAGACAAATGAGCAACTAAAAGCCGTCACAAGAGAAAAAGAGGTGAGATAATATTCTGCAATTTCAATTTGTAACTAAACTGTACGTAGTATCCGAGTGTTTGTAGTAGTCGTGATGAAATCCAAACAGTGTTAGCAATTTGGCAAGTTTGTATACAATTACACTACACTATACAGGGTGTCCCACGAGAGGTGTCTCAAATTGGTTACGGAAAAACGGCTGAACCTACAAGGATGAAATAAAATTATTTTCCACTAAATCGACCCCAAGGAATAACGTAAAAATATTTTAAACTTTTTTACGTTACAGAGTGTGCCAAAAACTGAGGGTCACTAGTTCGAATCTCGGAATTTTACAATGCAAACATATGCTGTGTTATACATCATTTTAAAGGTATTTAATAGAAAAGCATTTTGGCGAAAACAGAAATTAATTTTCTTTTTCCATTTCAAAATGGCGGCAGTTAAAAAAAATATCTATATTTTTTTAATATTATGGGTTTTTTATACCAATGTACTTAGTTAGCCCTTCTCCGGTTGAATTTTTTTACTTGTTATGAAATTAGCTTTACTCTGATATGCTACAAGTAAAAGTTTTTTTGAAACGACAAAAATTAAAAAAATAAATATTTTTGAAAATTTGCAAATGCTCATTGTTCAAAATAAAAAAAAAAAACATATGTCAAAAGGCACATCATTTTATAGGTTTTTTTTTTAATTTTGAACAACTTTGTAATTTACACTTACTTCGTATCTCTTTTAGTTTTTGTGTAAATAACAAAAATCCTAATTTTCCTTTATCAAATGCATGTTATTTGAGATTAACACTAATGGCCCCATTTCAGAAAAAAAATGTTGAGTATTAAAAAAAATATTGATTTTTTCCAAAAAAACTGCCGCCATTTTGAAACAAAAAAAGATTATTAATTTATGTTTTCACCAAAATGTTTTTCTATTAATTACCTTTAAAATGATGTATAACATTTGAAAATTCCGAGATTTTAACTAGTGACCCACAGTTTTTGGCACACCCTGTATCGGAAAAAAACGTTTAAAATATTTTTAAGTTATTCTTTGGGGTTGATTTAGTGGGAAATAATTTTATTTCATCCTTGTATGTTAAGCCGTTTTTCGGTAATCAATTTGAGACACCTCTCGTGGGACACCCTGTATTTAAGTGATTGGTCTATATAGAACAATAAAGCTAGAAAACAAGCACTTCATGGTTTGGTGAGTCATTGGCTCAGTTGGTAGGGAAACGGACTACTTTGTGTGTTCGCTTCCTGGTGCCCGCAACTTAATTTTATAAGCACAGATTATTTGCACTTTTCAGACTCACCCCTTACAATGCAAGATTAAAAGAGGCTTCTAACATCATTAGGAAATGAACATAATCATGCCAAGAAAAAAGTGTTGTCATATGAATGCAATTTAAAATTTTTTCCTGAAATTATAAATATAAAAACCCATCATAAGCTTTTTAATTTTAATTTTTATTTTTTTGCAGAGCCTAATGAGTGAACGAGACCTTCTAAAAGAGACAAATGAAGAGTTACGTTGTTGTCAACTGCAGCAACGAAATGACAATGCTGCGTCAGTGAATCAGTTACAAGACAACATCATCTCACAGGCTGAGCTTAAGTAAGTCAAACTATTAGAAAATTGACTATATTATATTAAAATCCTACTAATCCGGCACATTCAGTACCGTACTCTGGCACCGGTCTTGTGATTTTGGCATTTTTTCCACTGAAACCTTCATAGCACTTTTGGCAGAGATTTTGATTTTGAGCAATCAGCTAAGTTAAAAAGCTGAGATACATGTTTCTGATGATGGCATCATAATTTTGAAAAACAAAAATAACAGTTACAACTACTGAGCCGATTGAGGAAGGTAAAGCCTCCATTTTTGTTAAATTACAGCTCAGGGGCTAAAATCATGGATTTTAAATCATTAAAAATCAATTGTATTTAAAAATCAATCATCCAGCCATAAAAAAAAAAATTATGTTAAAAAAAAAACAACAAAAAAACAACTGTTTATCACCATGGACTGCTGGTCTGGACAGTGGATGGTGATCCAAAGACAGTAAAGTACCGTTCCGGTATAAGTCGCATAGGCAATCCAGCATTGACTAAAGTCTAGTCTCTAACCAGCTATGTCTGGCTTATCTGGCCATGACCCTACCACTGAGCTACCATGTTCCGGTATAAGTCACAAAGGCAATCCAGCATTGACTGCAGTCTGGTCTCTAGCCAGCTATGTCTGGCTTATCTGGCCATGACCCTACCACTGAGCTACCATGTTCCGGTATAAGTCACAAAGGCAATCCAGCATTGACTGCAGTCTGGTCTCTAGCCAGCTATGTCTGGCTTATCTGGCCATGACCCTACCACTGAGCTACCATGTTCCGGTATAAGTCACAAAGGCAATCCAGCATTGACTGCAGTCTGGTCTCTAGCCAGCTATGTCTGGCTTATCTGGCCATGACCCTACCACTGAGCTACCATGTTCCGGTATAAGTCACAAAGGCAATCCAGCATTGACTGCAGTCTGGTCTCTAGCCAGCTATGTCTGGCTTATCTGGCCATGACCCTACCACTGAGCTACCATGTTCCGGTATAAGTCACAAAGGCAATCCAGCGTTGACTGCAGTCTGGTCTCTAACCAGCTATGTCTGGCTTATCTGGCCATGACCCTACCACTGAGCTACCATGTTCCGGTATAAGTCACAAAGGCAATCCAGCATTGACTGCAGTCTGGTCTCTAGCCAGCTATGTCTGGCTTATCTGGCCATGACCCTACCACTGAGCTACCATGTTCCGGTATAAGTCACAAAGGCAATCCAGCGTTGACTGCAGTCTGGTCTCTAACCAGCTATGTCTGGCTTATCTGGCCATGACCCTACCACTGAGCTACCATGTTCCGGTATAAGTCACAAAGGCAATCCAGCATTGACTGCAGTCTGGTCTCTAGCCAGCTATGTCTGGCTTATCTGGCCATGACCCTACCACTGAGCTACCATGTTCCGGTATAAGTCACAAAGGCAATCCAGCGTTGACTGCAGTCTGGTCTCTAACCAGCTATGTCTGGCTTATCTGGCCATGACCCTACCACTGAGCTACCATGTTCCGGTATAAGTCACAAAGGCAATCCAGCATTGACTGCAGTCTGGTCTCTAGCCAGCTATGTCTGGCTTATCTGGCCATGACCCTACCACTGAGCTACCATGTTCCGGTATAAGTCACAAAGGCAATCCAGCATTGACTGCAGTCTGGTCTCTAGCCAGCTATGTCTGGCTTATCTGGCCATGACCCTACCACTGAGCTACCATGTTCCGGTATAAGTCACAAAGGCAATCCAGCGTTGACTGCAGTCTGGTCTCTAACCAGCTATGTCTGGCTTATCTGGCCATGACCCTACCATTGAGCTACCATGTTCCGGTATAAGTCACATACGCAATCCAGCATTGACTGCAGTCTGGTCTCTAACCAGCTATGTCTGGCTTATCTGGCCATGACCCTACCACTGAGCTACCATGTTCCGGTATAAGTCACAAAGGCAATCCAGCGTTGACTGAAGTCTGGTATCTAACCAGCTATGTCTGGCTTATCTGGCCATGACCCTACCACTGAGCTACCATGTTCCGGTATAAGTCACAAAGGCAATCTAGCGTTGACTGAAGTCTGGTATCTAACCAGCTATGTCTGGCTTATCAGTCCAAGACCCTACCACTGAGCTACCATGTTCTGGTATAAGTCACATAGGCAATCCAGCATTGACTGCAGTCTGGTCTCTAACCAGCTATGTCTGGCTTATCTGGCCATGACCCTACCATTGAGCTACCATGTTCCGGTATAAGTCACATAAGCAATCCAGCATTGACTGCAGTCTGGTCTCTAACCAGCTATGTCTGGCTTATCTGGCCATGACCCTACCACTCAGGGGCGTCGTCTTAAGGGGGGGTAGGGGGGGGAGCCTCCCCCCCCGTAGAATCTGGGAAAGAGAAAAGTTGGGAATTTCTTTGCCATGAGTTGGGACAGTTGGGAAGTCAGATACAAGAAAAATATATATTTAAACTAAACAAAATTTAAATATTGGCGAAAATCCATCAAAGATGAAAATGTCTTTGACTTGGACAAATAAACTTGACACTTCTTTGATTTCATTTAACTTCGATTAAACAAAGCTAAACCATGGCTAAACACGCCTTATTTTAAGAAATCAATAATCAATTAGCGTTATAGCTTGTTGGAATTTCGTTTACGAGAAATTTTGTTCCTTATTATTGTGGACGTATGTTGGCTACCTTGATCCTGTCCTGTGTTGATGATTCTGAATGATTCGTCTGCGAGACTGCGAGTTTGAATTTTGAAAGTGCAAGCGATGTAGCTCTTCTGTTCAATTATGTTGTTTGTTAGTGTTTACAAGAAATTCAAAAATATTTTTCACGTCACTCACATGAAATATATTTTATACCTTTTTTTGTGGTATTTGGATCAGACTAACTAACCGGAGTACTTGCTAATAAGCAGATTAAAATAACATTAAAGATAGGTTTTGTGTATCGCTATTACCTTTAAAACTCTTATTTTTTAATAACCTAAATGAAATATTTATTCTCTGAATATATTTAAAAAATCTACACAAGTTATTTATCATTCCTATAAGGATTTACAAAAATGAATCAACTAATCACTCTGAAACAGATCTACGTGGATAAAACATAACCTAAAATTTGATTTTTGACTTTCACTCGTTTGATTTTTGTCTAAGTTCTAGTTTTTGAAGATGAAGGTTAACATTTTTATTGTATGTATAAGTTTATCAACAACCAAGTTGAACGTTTTTATTTTATACGAGTCTTATTTTAGGTTTATTCTTTTCTAGACTAGAATAATATTATTCACAGCACTGATATTAATATTTCATCATTACAAACTTGTTTAGGCCTACCCTAGTTGTAAGTTTTATGAAAGTTAAAACGTTGATTTTAACTTTTAAAAGTATTTTAATTTCATTATTTTGTAATAAAATATTTTTTCTATACTAATTTGTACTAGGCTTATTTTATATCCCTAAAATTTTACACTGCTGCGTCTGCTACCACAATGGTTTGTAACGTTTTTTTTTTTGATTTGAAACATTACTTGTTCAAGTTTTTTGAAGTCATAAAATTTCATTATGAATTGGTAGAAGTTTTAGAAATTGAGTAATTTTGTATATATGTAAAACTAGCTATGTTTTGTTAATGCAAGTTTATAAATACTGAATTGAGTGTGACTGCTGTGTAGTATAATAATTTGTAGATTTTTAAAAATAGTACAGAAATTGATTTCTAAAAAAAAATAGTTGGGAAATCTATGTTAAGCAGTTGGGAAATTTGAGGCTTCTCCCCCCCTGGAATTTAGCCAAGCAACACCACTGCTACCACTGAGCTACCTTGTTCCGGTATATATGTCTCATAAGCAATCCAGCGTTGACTGCAGTCTGGTCTCTAACCAGCTATGCCTGGCTTATCTGGCCATGACCCTACCACTGAGCTACCATGTTCCGGTATAAGTCACAAAGGCAATCCAGCATTGACTGCAGTCTGGTCTCTAACCAGCTATGTCTGGCTTATCTGGCCATGACCCTACCATTGAGCTACCATGTTCCGGTATAAGTCACATAGGCAATCCAGCATTGACTGCAGTCTGGTCTCTAACCAGCTATGTCTGGCTTATCTGGCCATGACCCTACCACTGAACTAATGTTCGATTAATTACTTATAGCCCCTTTGCCTCTATGTTATAACAGTATTTCTGCCGTGTTGAGAATAATAGTTGTTTGAAGACAGTGCTGAGTAATCTGGCCAAAATCTCAGACATGATAGACAAACTATTCAGCTAATTGTTCACTGTACACTGATTACTAATTCAAAAATGTTAACTGTTTTGTACTAGGCCTAACAAAAATATATTTAAAAATTAATTAGTTTAGACATGCAACAGTGTTTAGTCTAAGGATAGTTTTTATTTGTGGTTATTGTTCTCTTGAGTCATCAGTGTTTATTTAGAGTGGTATCAATCTTGATATATCATCAGTCAAATAAACAATTGCTATCTTGATAAGAAATCTGGGCTAACATAAAAATCCATGACTAAACTATTAATATGGCTTGTGTTGAGACCGACTTGTCATCTTTCTAATACTGATTTATCAAACTCATCAGTTTTGAAGTTAACCTCATGTGTCTTTGTTGGAAATAGTCAGTGTAGAGTGTTGTTTTAAAACAAAAGAGGTAAAATGGCCAGGATTAAAATATATGTCCAAAGGATGTAATAATGTTAAGATTCTTATACAAATTAAACCTTAAAAATTGTTAATAGGTTATCTACTAAATTTACCATTTAGTGAGCCGGTGGCTCAGTCGGTAGCGTCGCGGACTTCGGGCCCAAGGCAGCGATGTCGTGGGTTCGGATCCTGGTCACTGCTACTAAAATTTATCAGTACAGTTCACCTTTGTACTGTACCGGCTCACTCCTTGCTTTGCTGTAAATGTTCCACACACGGGCGGTTAGTCTATGTGGACAGATAAATGCAAGGTTAAAAGAGGCCGCCAACCTCTTAAAAAAAAGGACTTTTTTCTTGAATTATATTGTGCATCTATACTGTTTATATCTGTTACAATATTTTTATATCTTTTGGGGTTATTGTTTTTCTAATCTGTCTTTGTACTGACTTGATTATTTTTAGACAAAAAGTTGTGATGCTGGAACATAAATTACGTTTAAGCCAGCAGACCTCCGAAGATGAAAAGTTGTCAGTGGTCCAATCTTTACTAGATGACGCCCAACAACAAATTAATCAGCTAAGGCTAGAAAATAGGTAAGATTAATAAGATATATGTGTACAATACGGGTAGGGGTTTGCGGGTCTGTCCAACAGTTGGCTTGAGAGGCCGGGTCAGGCCAGAAATAAATTTCGGCCCGCAGACCTCTGAATAGGGGTAGGCCCTAATTATTATCCATGTAGGTGATCACTGGTGTGGTAATGAGACTAGGTACTGTTTATTGTTGTGCATGAATAAACACTCAATTGAGATTTGCAACATTATTATTATTATTTTTAATTAAATAATTTCTTGATCAGCATTGTATGTGTTATTAAATTTACGGAAGGTAAATAAAAAGATATACGTCTTATAACACTTAAAACATATATTTACGCTTATACTGTTTGCCATTTCTTATACCATACCATTTCTTATACTGTAGAAATGGTAAGTGGTGATAGATTTTGATTGGACACTCCAATCGAATCATCATCAGACCCAATAAGCGAAGCGAATGCAGTATAAGCGTAAATATATGTTTTAAGTGTTATAAGACATATCTTTTATTTACCTTCCGTATTATTTATTCAAAAAGTTTTAAGTTAAAAGTAATTTAAGGAAATAGGAATTATGAGTTTTTTTTAGCTTTGGCTATATATTTATCAAATAGCCCTTTATATTAAATCAAATCATAAAAGATTGCCAAAATTGAACTCTTTTCATAAGTATTTGATGAGAAAAGGTAGTGAATTTGCGTTCAACAGACATAATTTATCGGTATACGAGAAAATTCTATCTTATAGTGGTGTTAAAGATTTCAATAGCTTACCTGACAATACAAAAATGTAACTGATTTAAATCTATTTAAAAACTTTTAAAATTATTTCTTGACATTTAGCCTACTTAGACTAATGGTAAATGGTTGAAACTTCGTATGAGTGAAGTTTAGAACACTATTAGTTCCAATTAAAAGCTTAAGGGTTAATATTTTATATTTTAAATATTCAAACAAAGTCGGTACTTTTAAATGATTTTTGAAATATGACATGAAAAAGTTTGTTGGCTACTTCTTTTTAAATTTTTTGGTTAGGTAAGTTAAAAAAACTGTGGATTTTGTAGCTAAAGGTTTGAATCTTCTGAATTAATCCCGCCACGTCGCATCATCCAGGCCTACTACAATTACAATTGTTGATACAACACTACTGTGGTAACAACATTTAAAATTTATAAATATATTTGTATAAAAAACGTCTTACTTTTTGTATTAATCTAAAAATGGATATGCTTTTTTATAAACATGAATATGACAGTCATAATGTAAAGGAGTGTTGTTTTATGAGTTTAAAAAATCTTGTGACTTTGAAATTCGTACATTCTAAACCAAACTTCAGAACTTTATCAAACTTAAATACAAATAGATACTAGTGATGGTCGGATCCGAATATTGGACTGCCGGATCTGAGCTAGAACCGACACCCGGTTTTAATGGATCCGAGTTTTTTTAAATTATTCTATTAACACCACACGTTTTTTATGAAGTACAATTCATACATAAGAACAGGTGTTATGTCATAATGATGTATTTTAAAATAAAATTAATAGTGATTATCTGTGTCCATATAAAAGACTATCTGTATCCATATAGAAAAGTATCTGTATACATATAAAAGACTATCTGTATCCATATACAAGACTATCTTTATCCATATACAAAACTATCTGTATCCATGTACAAGACTGCCTGTGTCCATATACAAGACTATCTGTATCCATATACAAGACTATCTGTGTTCATATACAAAACCATCTGTATCCATATACAAGACTGACTGTGTCCGTATAAAACACTATCTGTATCCATATACAATCTATCTGTATCCATGAACAAGACTATCTGTATCCATGTACAAGACTATCTGTATCCATGTACAAAACTATCTGTATCCATATAAAAAACCATCTGTATCCATATAGAAGACTGCCTGTGTCCATATACAAAATTATGTGTATCCCTATAAAAGACTATCTGTATCCATGTCAGGGCCTGATTACCCATTAAGCTAATTAGGCTGGAGCCTAGGGCGCCAGTCAGCCAAGTGTTTTAGGGGGGGCGCCAGACAGCCAAGACTTTCATGATATCCATACATAAAGCCCAAAGAACCCATGAACTTTTGAGAAAACTACAAGTCACACCCCCATAAACCATATAGGCCTACTTAAAATATTCGTAATGACAAGAAACCTTGCGCTAAACTATCCATTATTTCATAAATTGCCCTTTAAGGTCGCAATTCCTTTCCAAAGGGAACTTTCCATATACCTAATGTTAAAAATACCTCAGCTGTACTTATTTGTTTATTTCAGCTTAACTTAACCAATCAATAGTTTTATTAATACCTATGAAGTCAAACGGGGTGAAGCCCGTGGGTTATAGCTAGCTTATAATATAGTAATAATTGATTTGTAAAAACTAAAAACATTTAACGATACTTTTGTTGCAGATAAATACAGATAATTGTTGTAAACTAAGTAATTCCATCTAAAGGTCCTAATGAAATTGGTTTAGGCCTAGGTGACTAACAGAGTTAATTTAGAAAGTACGCATATTATTGTTTAGTTTTTGATATTTTAGGTTAGGTCTACTTTTTATTTAATCATATGTTTAATAAAATGTAAAATAAATACATTATTTTAAATAAAAACGTTTTACATTCCTTGAACAACCGATTTGTTACTATTTTAAAAGTTCCTAATCAAACCATGCATTAATTATTTATGATCAGTTTTCTTTTGTTTTTAAATAAACTGAATACTAGTATAATGCCTTTGGCCATTTTTAATTTTGAATTCAGTATTAGTATTCATTCTTTGAAATTTTGAAAGTGGTAGCAGTGAGGAGGGGTAGTGGAAGGGAGGAGGGGCCGTGAAAAACGTCAGCCTACTGGCGACTAGACCCTTAATCAGGCCCTGATCCATGTACAAGACTAACTGTATCCATATACAAAACCATCTGTATCCATTTAGAAGACTGCCTGTGTCCATATACACAATTATCTGTATCCCTATAAAAGACTATCTGTATCCATGTACAAGACTAACTGTATCCATATACAAAACTATCTGTATCCATATACAAGACTGCCTGTGTACATATACAAAACTTTCTGTATCGCTTTACAAGACTATCTGTATCCATGTTGAAGACTAACTGTGTCCATATACAAAACTATCTGTATCCATATAGAAGACCATCTGTATCCATGTACAAGACTGCCTGTGTCCAACTATCTGTATCCATATACAAAACTATCTGTATCCATATAGAAGACCATCTGTATCCATGTACAAGACTGCCTGTGTCCAACTATCTGTATCCATATACAAACTATCTGTATCCATGTACAAGACTATCTGTGTCCATATATTAAACTATCTGTATCCATGTACAAGACTGCCTGTGTCCAACTATCTGTATCCATATACAAACTATCTGTATCCATGTACAAGACTATCTGTGTCCATACATTAAACTATCTGTATCCATATAAAAGAACATCTGTATCACATTACCCAGCCATATGAATTTTTTATGTCAACAAATACTGTAAAATTGCCTAGCCATATGTGCTATTTAAAAAAAACCCGTCCTCGGGGAAAAAAGAAAAAAACGTATCCGGATCCGAACATCTGGAACCGAAGATCCGGATCCGGTACCGACATTTTCTTTGATCCCCCCATCACTAATAGATACATATATTATAAATTAATTTGTGTGTTTTCAGAATTTTTGTTACGCCCAAAAAACTTTTGTTGTTAATTATGTAAACTAACTTTTTCTAAGAAACGTTAAACGCTATAGAACAAGAATTAAAAGTGTGTTTTGAAGGTCATATCTGGAAATATTTATAATGTAAAGGCGTGTTAATGGTATTATTGTTTATTTTTACAATTGGTTTGAGAAGATGTGGGAGTTTAACATAATAAAATTGTAGGATGAAAAGGTAACACGGGTAACACTGTAGAAACAGTCATTGCCATACGGTTTCATCCACATGCACTACTTGTTTTTCTTCCTTGTCTTTGACGATGTAACCAAATATGCCTCTGAGATTGGGCATCTATAATGTATGCTGGATCATGCACACGAAGATGCCAATTAATTGTGCTATCTATGATTTCAGGTAGAATGCAATAACCACCTTGGCCAGTTTTGGCAGCATTGTCTTAGTCCACAACTCACTGTCTATGGTGATCCTCTCAAACAAACAGTTAATTCATACGTGTGAATATAATGAAATCACATGAACTCCTCTTTGTTACGATCAGTAAAATATATAAACTGTTTGCCAACCGAAAGAATCTAAAGTGCTATGAGGATGAATTCAGTAAATACTCCCGTATATAAAACGCGTGACCGATGACAGGTAGGCAGACGAGGAAAATATAACAAAGACAGCTGAGTAGAGTGTGCGGGAACGAGGACAGAGATGGTTGTAGGCGCAGGTGATAGGGGAGGGAGGGGCGTGTGCCCGCATGTGGTGAGTGTGCGTAGGTGCACTGTACACACTCACATCGCACGCCACGCTGATTTTACGTGATTTCAATTTTCTTTCCAGCATTAAAACGCTTAAAAATTTTCCATTGGAGTATTTTTTTATACATTCTCTACATCTTTGGCTTTGTTTGCGTTTCTTCTCGATTTATGTCAAAATAAACGAGGTATTGAATTTACAAAAAATGGTACTTTTTTATTTATAAACGATATGGGAAATAAAAAGTTTTAGCTTAGAAAGATAAATTTTGTTGAATTTTTAAGAGTAGTTTGATTAATATAGTCGAAACCATTTTTCTGGAAAGCAAGCGGAGTTCGCACTTCAACAACTAATTTATAACTCGCTTATCAGACCTCTTAAAAATTTCTGGTGAAATTTTTTCTCACCTTTATAATGGACCTTAACAATTATATTTTTAAAAAATATTTTATTTTATTTTCGATCGAACACCCTTAAGGAGAAATTTGAGTGAAAATCAAATTAGACAAATGGAAATTTACTTAGCCTGCAGGTTTCCTGTGGCGGGGGTATTTAATTTACTCCTTGATAGTTTCTGAGCTGTGAAATTGTACAATAGACCCAGGCTGCACATTTTTGTCCCATACTGTATTCTCTCCACTTCTGGGTTTGTCCATGTCAGCATGTCCGTAATATCAATATCCATACCTTTTTAGGAAATTTCCCATATACCTGTTTACCAACCAAGACCAATTAACTTTTTCTTGAGGTCCCTAGAGGCCAAAAACACCATCTGTTCAAAAATCATATATATATATATGTGTCCCTTAGCACGATAACTCGAGCAAAAATAATCCGATTTTGATGAAATTTGGTACAAATGTGTAAACCTACATTTATTCGAACGAGTTTGCAAACCAGCATGATCGGACTTTTGGAACAGGGGTTTATGGGGTAAAAATAGGTTTTTCCCATTTTTGACCGCTTGAAACACAAAATTTCACAATATCTTTCCAAACCATTTTACCTAATGGTTACGGAGAAAATTCCAACAAATTTTAAATTTAAAATTCCCATGTTATTCTTATGGAGAATAAGTAAACTGTTGTAATTTGCTTGTTTATGAACATATTTTGATCAAATTTGGAAAATACATTCATTTGTTACTAAACTACAGTATCAACATTTTACAACAAACACAGTTTTTACCCTCCCTGTTGCAGCAAACCTAAGTACTCGATAAACTAATTCTATTTAAATAGGGAATAATGTGATATTTTTAAGGAGACGTTTTAGTGTAAATCCAATCAGGCAAACGGAAATTCGCTATGTCTGCAGGTTTGCTGCGGCGGGGGTATTATATGTATGTGTTTGTATTGTGTTTACGGACTGAAATGATTTTACTTAGCGCTTTATGTATTAGTGGTGATCATTTCGGTTAAGTGCTTGAAGTGTCTATTTATTTTGAAACTCATCTTATCCATCCTTCCTTAAATATTTTAGACAACTAAATCAGCGGATTATGGAACTTGAGGGAGAAGTTACTGATTTACATGAGAGAGGGGAAGACAGTGTATCTACTCTGAAAGTGAAAATAAAAGACTTGGAAAACAAACTTCAGCAAGAAAAAGAACAAAGAACAGCTGAGCTGGAGGAAAGGGAGATGGCTCTTGCAGAGAAAAGTGAGTTTTGTCTAAGAAAAGAATTAATGATCAAACAACAAAAAATTATCACGTGTGCATGGTGGCAGGAAAATACACAGGTGTGCTATTCCTGTCATTTGCTGACATCACCCAGATTGCAGATTGAAAAAATCTGCTGATGTATTGCCATATAAGTATATATTTGTTTTGATTTGATTGTTATTGTTTTTATAATTTTTCTAAATGGTAAAATGTTGTTTGCAATCTGAGTGACGTCAGCATATGACGGGAATAGCACACCTATGTATTTTTGTTCCACCATGTCACGTGTGTCTATATTTCTTGTGTCTTTATTACGAAAGTCCCACCCCTTATTATTTTTTTTTATTAATAGAGATAAAATTATAATATTCAGGGAATGTTTATATGATTAAAAAAGGATGTTTTTGGTGTAGGCTATGTAAACTTTCACCCCCTCCCCACCAGTTTGGGGGTAAGTCAAAATTTTCAAATGTAAATCAAGTTAAATACCGATTACATAATTGTAAAGGTCATAATAAAAGAAAAAGAATGGCGCAAACTAGAGGTATCCGTACGGCAATCCTATCAAAAGTTATGGCAGCTCAAAGTTTTAATCTCCCCCTCCCTTTTTTTGAAATAATACGTTTTTTTAACGGCTATAGCTCGTTGTTCAATTTAAAACACGCCAAAAATCCGAGTAATTTTAAACATTTTTTAAGTAGGGTGTTTTATGAAGATGAAGGAGTGCGATTTTCGGAAAATGTCTTTGAGTGTTTTGTAAAAAATTTAATTCCTGACCATAAAAATCCTCTTTTAAATCTTTGCTAGCTCTTACGCTAAATTTAATAAGTTCAGTTCAATTGTGCTCTAAACATTTAACCTTAGATCTATTGTGCATATGTATGTGGAAGTTAACTTCGAGTCGCCTTATAGTGGCACACCGCGTAAGCTACTTCTGCTCTATGACAAAGATGAACACCTGTTCCAATGACAAAAATTGTTTCAAATGGAATTTACTTCCTCTAAAGAAGTACGTAGCGTTCATTCAAGACCAGATTGCCCACTTCATAATATTTTTTCACAAAAAAATATTATTATATAGCCTATAATATAACCTTCCACCATGCACACGTGATATATTATTATATAATATAACTGTTGGCAAGTGCAGTTTTTTAACTCCTGTCATGCGTCCAATGGAAGGTAAACGCAAGATGCAGGATCTTTGATAGCCGTAATCGCGAAAAGTTTAGATAATCAGAAGCCCAAATAATTAGGGCCAGAAGAGCTTAAAAACTATGATCAGAAAAGCAATACTTATTTACAGTAAAAATGCAATTACAATTTACAACATCAACAATAAAATGGCACTTCGTTGCCAAGTGCCCTATACCGCGTCATTTTAAAATTTTTTGGTTCGGTTTATAGAGTTGTTTTAGGGCCTCTTCACACTGGGCCACCATGGTGGCGACACCGGTGGCGACACTGGTGGTCGGTCAAAATGCGCATGGACCACCAGCTCAGCCACCAGTGCAGCTGCAGCCACAAAGCTCACGGTTGGACGTCGAAGAGGCAGGTGCTTAGCGTATTTTTTTTTTTTAATTGTGAAAACATAAGAAAAAAACGTATTTTTTTGTTCATCCGTTTTTATAAGATATAAGTACCAGAGAGACTTTTTTCATTCACTACCAAGACCTTAGAAATAACCCTGACACGTTTCACAATTATAGAATGAGTGTTTTAAGTTTTGATAAGCTTCTGGGACGTCTGAAAGATAAAATATCTCCAGAAGAGAAACTGCTACTATTGTTGTGGAAAATTAAAAAAAAACATAGTTAATATACCATTTATTAATAACACTGTAATACCTTGACTCAATGTATACATTGCAATGATGAAAAGATGTAAATGAAATAGAGTACCTATACATTTTGTTATGTTAATAAAATCGTTTCCCCATATTTATTACCTTAACAACTTCAAAAGATTAGTAAACTAGTATACTGAGTAATGTTCGCTGGTAGTGACTGGTGGCGCTGCCAGTCGCTCCAATGTGAACAGTCCGATAAGAAACCATGGTACGACGTGGTGGCGCCACCAGACTGGTGTCTCTGAAAATCGCAACCCCGAGCCACCGCATTTCTGGTCGCGCGGCCAGACGCGCCACCAAAGCTCAGTGTGAAGATGTCCCATTTAAATCAATGCTAATGTAACGTAGCCACCATGGTGTCGCCACCGGTGTCACCACCATGGTGGCCCAGTGTGAAGGGGGCCTTAGTTGACCTGGGATATTTTCATATCCTTGTTGAACGGGGCTGATTGGGTGCGGCTTGCCCGATTCCTTTAGCAAGCTTGGCGGTACAGGTGGGAAATGATAAAGGAATTTAATTATTAATCTTCCTTCAAGCTCTGAGCACTCTCCTGTTGTCTTTAGAAATTAATAAGTTACAATAACAAATATATATATAAGAAAAAAATTTTATAAGCAGAAATAATGGTGGTTATTGGAGCAGAAAGGTAATTTTAATGTATACATAATACACCAGGGACGAATTTCCCACTAGGCACACTAGGCCAGTGCCTAGGGGCGGCAGACCCTTGACCGGTGCCGCCGCTTACGGGTGCCGCCGTTTACGTGTGCCGCCGCTTACGGGTGCCGCCACTTACCAGTGCTGCCACTTACGTTTTTCCCGTCGCTTACAAGTGCCGCCCCTTACGTTTTTTCCGTCGCTCACGAGTGCCACCCCTTACGTTTTTCCCGTCGCTTACGAGTGCCACCCCTTACGTTTTTCTCGCCGCTTACGAGTGCCGCCACACATTTGCGGCCACTTACTAGTGCCGCCGTTTACGAGTGCCACCGCTTACGAGTGCCCTGCTTACAGCTGCCGCCTCGCCGCTTATGGGCGCCGCCGCTGCCATAGTCCGCCGACTGTATGTGCGACCACGACGGCACGGTGGTGAAAGAAAACGACAGTCAAAAGGCAATGATGAGATAGATGAGTTTGCAATGGTTAAAAGTAGGAGGAAACCACTGTAAGGACTCAGAATGAAGACTTTACAAAGATATTTATGTGAAAATATATAATTTCGAAGTCGTTATTTCTTATATTCAACTCAAGTACTGTATGTCAATATTACGTATTTTAATGTTTGTGGGATGGTAGACCTTTTCAATTGTAATTAAAATATAAAAAATATCTTGCAGTGTTCTTTTATGGACACTCTAAATGGGTTATACTTAGTTTATATTTAAAAAATAATAAATTTCACCACACTAAGATGTTTATAGCCGTTTTACAAAACGTTAATTGGAGGCTCGAAGCTATGTAATTGCTGTCCAGGACCGAAATGGCAGCTGTCATCGTCATTGGGGACCGATTTGGTTTTTACAGCCCTAGGGTCACAAAACCAGTTGTTCAATTACTAACTTAAAACATCAATGTATATAAAATAAAATATACAAGCAATATCCATATGCATTTTATGTCATCGCTGCCTAGCAACTATTTATTAGTATATTTTTGCTGGTTCCTCTAGATTATTCCTTTACATAACCTTAAAGTTATAGTTGTGTTAACTGTTAATATGCATTTATAGTGTGAAAATGACAACTTAAGACCCTCAATCTTTGTACAGTGTGGTGAAAAATGGTGTTCGTACCACGGGCCGAAAAGGTTTTGCAGCTCTTAACTTGGTCCCGAACTGGTCCTAGGTACGAAACATACTATGAGGGGGGGCGGCACTAAGGATAGTGCCTAGGGGGGAAATATTTATAAATCCGTCTCTGTAATACACTTGTTTTATCTAGCAATTATAGTGTGTTTGCCAACCCAGCTGACGGTCTGTTGGAAAAATGCGGGTCTGATGTGTGAAACATGGTGGACCTTTCTATAATATCGAAATGTTGTAAAACTTGTACGAACATTTTAAAATAAAGCATTGTTTCATTTCATTTCAAAGCAAAACATTGATAGAAATCACTTCAAGTTTTTGACTTTGACATATTTTTACAGAACAAATAATTACTTTGATGCAAGAAACAATCAGCCAAAAAGAGCTTGAAGTACAGGAATCTGAAGACAAATACAAGAAATGTATAGAGAAAGCGAAAAATGTTGTCAAAGCTATGGATTCTAAACAAGTGCCTTCATCAATGGAACTCAATATCCTTCGCAGTCAACTTCTAGAGCGGCAGAAGATGATCACTGACTTAGAGGTATTTATCGTAGTACTCTCAAACTTGGCATCCTATGATGCAACAATATGCAATACATTATATTCACCATTAATTAATTTGATTAATTACACCACACTCAAATAATCAGTAAGATTTTAAACAAATGTATTAGGATTTAAATTTAAAAAAATAGACATTAACAATCAAATGAGTAGTAAATTAAAACACATCTTGACCCTCAAAACTTAGATATTTTGCTTATATCTTTATATTTATTTTGTTACAGAAAGAATGTGAGAAAACTAAATCATTAAAAGAAATGGAGGAAAAGCTTATTTCAACTGCCTTTTATAACCTTGTAAGTAAAATGTCCATGAATATGAATTTGACAAACCAGATTTTAAATTGATACCTGTCATGATTACTAACTTGAATAGTGGAAGCATATTCTAATATCCCTGTTTTACTAACAACAATTTTCAAAACTACTGCATGTAAACCCCTGAACGTGTTTGGCAAAATTGATAATTTAACTGTTTTAACTCAGGCTATACAGCTACAATTGGCTGTTTTAAGTAAATGATATTTTATGTACCATACTTGAAATTTCAGAAAACCAGCATATGAAGCAGTATATTATCTTATTTTAATTTTTGATTTGTTTTGCATGGTCAGGGCTGATTTAATAATCTAGTAGTTATTAACATGCCAACAATTATTTAGTACGACATGTTCTGATGCTAGATGATATGGTAGGACTACCTCCTGAACATGTGTTGGCCTCCAAAAATCATCAAACTTTTTTACCTTAGCCGTGGACTACGCACAACACCGGTAGTGATAGAAAAGCATAGGCAGAAACCAGAAAAAACAAGCCTGGGATTCTCTGAAGTCTTTACTTGGCTGATGGAATTGAGGACATGTAGAAGATCTCTATCCATTTTGAAAAGATATTGTGACTTATATTCTAGGGGTGAATAATATTGTATCTCAAAACAGGAGGGGGGAATAATATTTTATCAAAAAACCGGCTAGACCGACCCCTGGAACTAGTGACACTCAAAATTCTTCTCCGGAGTGCTCAGTAGGAGCTGACAAAATCCAGGGGTCGATACAAAGGTTGTTCCACGGTTTTGACTTATTAATTATTCTATTTATTTTAATTTAATCTTTAATCAAAGGTAGATCTAGAAGCGCTCAGAAAATCCTGCTGGCAGAGCTATAATTCTATAATATTCTAATATTCTGTAATCCATCAAGAGGCTGCAGCATTAGTTCATTTAAAACATTGTTTGTTGAGTTAATTCCTTGAGGATAGAATCTGTAAAGCACCGCTGCAGTACTTAGTGTGCACCTATAGGTTGTAGCAAGTATGTCGGATATTGTTGCTATTTCAGTTATGTTGTGGAACTTAACTTCAAGGGATTCTGTTCTGTTGATGTACGGGATTTGGTTTACGTCCCCAACAAGCATAGTTTCTTTTACTCCCGATAGCACAGCCGCAAAGAGTATCTCTCCTGCATGCATCATAAGGGCTTCATCTACTACAAGCCTCTCATATTTCTGTCCTTGTTTTATGTGTTGAGTTGAGTTTATTAAAAGAAGTTATTCAACCTTGCCCGTTCCTAGATTTAGAAGGAATTCTTTAACCCTGATTTTAAATAAGTTGAGAGAAGGTGAATCAAAGATGGCTAAGTCATTAAAATAAGAGCTGATGTTACAAAACAGTATAGGATAAATTTAAAAGGAGTTAAGTGAAGAAAAAGAATAATTTTGTTGTAATGTAGTAATACCAACTCTTGAAGAATACCTTGTGTTGTGTGAATGTGCAATTCCATGGAAAATGTTATTGTAATTTTTGAAATATGAATTAATATATTTTTAATGTATAGTTTAGTTGGTGAATAGAAAAAAGGGACGTTTCCTCAAATAAAGCGACTGATGGATATCGTCTGCATCTTCCAAATCCTATTTTTATTATTGTTTTTTGGGCAACATTTAAAGGTTCCATAATACTTTTATAACAGCCACTCCATGCTATGATACTGAAAGACAACAATGATTGATAGATACATCCATAAACAAGCAAACTAACAGAGTTTTCTTTTTCTCCATTAGAATAACATCATAAAAAAGGAAAATTTACTTAAATTTTCACTATTGTTCTTTTTAATATATGCATATATATGTAAATACATCTTTTGTAGAAATATGTCCATTGTAAAACGCCGGCCGCAACAGACGGGCTTTATGTCCATTGTCGTATTTAGTGCTGAAAAATTGTTTGTTGTACATTTATTTAGTAAATAAAAACACTTTTTTCATTTTATTTTAATTTCATTAGAATGACATGGGAATCTTACAGTACAGTTTTTTTTTTTAATTTCCTCCATAACTTTTAATTTTACTACAATGCTTCATTGTACACATTATTTGTTTTTTGGGGGGTGGTGGGAGCCATTTTAGTGGGTGGCAGAAAGAGACTAAACATTAATTATGTTTTTTTTTCTGGAACGGTCTCCAGAGCACCAGAATAGTACCCAGTGGGTAAGAATAGGCAAGGCTGTACATAAAAATATTTTCAGAATATTCACTGTTTAACGTAATTAACTTGTTTTATCTCTAACTAGGAATGCCAGATGTGTAGATTTGAAAATTTTTTGGGCGTGAATAACGCTAAAATTGCGATCAAGGAAAATGTCTTAAAAGATTCCGCGACCAAAAATTTACAATATTGCCGAAATCTGAAATATGCAAAGGGCTAGCTAGCCCTAGCCCATTTGTTGTTGTTTTTTTTTTTTTTGTTGAATCTTTACGATTTGTAGATTATCATGGTGCATATTACCACGAATTCGGAATATGATTACGACGTCACCACGGTTGTTAGTGCCGCGATTACAGAAAATAGTTAGGATAGATTTGTAATAAATCATAGCATCCTCTAATACAAGGCCGCGACAAGACATAAGTGGCAACACCGCTGTCCCGTCAAACCAAAACAGCTGTTGCACTAATTTATAATGGGCTGTATAGGAAATCTTTATGCTTACACTTTTGTTATTTCTGTTATTACCATGACAATAGGCATGACGTTGCGACGTTGCCACACACCAACCAAGCGGCCTTGTGTTTGAGGAGGCTATGGATAAATACACAATAGGCTGCCGGCTACACAAAATTTACTATACACCTTATAAACATATGTCACATACTTTAATACACCTAGGTTTTTAAAACTTGAGATTTTATAGTTAAATCAACAGGAAGGCTTAGTTAAATTGTCAACAATTAACCTCCTGTTAAACACTTCCGTCAGTGTTTAATTTAAAGGGGATATCTGACATTACAATTTAAAGATTTGTTTACGAAGAGTGTGTGAATAAAGTGTTAGTTATCATGACAGATTCTTCAATTATCACTATCTTTTGCAAATACTAGATATCACATAATGTTTATTTTGGGCATGACCCAAAGCAGTGCCGGATTTAGGGTACTTGCGGCCCTAGGCCAAATTACTTGAGCGGCCCTCCCCCTGTGGTGAAAATTCCTTGCAATCGCGGAAGTATAGTGACTATCTCCTATACATCAAGGGGACATCATCATCGACACCCGTGATCCTGGATGAAATCGTGGACATCTCTCCTAAACCAAGTCAAAGTCATCATAGTTATCCGGGACCGCAGTAAAATCGTGAACATCTCCCGCGAGCCGCAATCACGGGGACATCATAATTGAAACTTGCGATCGCGGCAAAGTCGTGTTAAAAAAACCTCTCCCGTCGACTGCGATCATGACGACTTCATCATTGTCACCCGCGGCCGTGCCGAAATCTTAAACATCTCGCTCGGGAAGCCATCACGGGAACGTCCTCATTGACACCCCGAGCCGTGGCGAAATCGTTAACAACTCCCGTGAACCACGATCACAGGGACATCATCATCAACACTCACAGCCGCGGTGAAATCATGAACATCTGCCGCGGGCCGCAATCATGGGAACATCATCATCGACACTTGCGATCGCGGCAAAGTCGTGTTAAAAACATCTCCCGTGGACTGTGATCATGAGGACTTCATCATTCTCACCCACGGCCGTGCCGGTATTTTTTTGGGGAAAATTATGGGCTTCAATTTAATGTACCGGTAGCCTATACATAAAACATTACATTACAAAAAAATTTTCAAAAATTTTTGTGGGGTTAACATTTCTCAACAATTATAAAATCCATGGGGACATCCACATTGACACCCCCAGCCGCGGCGAAATCGTTAACATGGCGCCATTGTATTATTCTTAATGAAATTACAAAATAAAGAATGAAAAAAAACATCTCCCGTGGGCCGCAATCACGGGGATGCATCATCAACACTCACAGCCGCGGTGAAATCATGAACATCTGCCGCGGACCGCAATCACGCACGGGGACATTATCATCGACACTTGTGACCGCGGCGAAATCGTGAACATCTCCCGCACACGGGCCGCAATCACGGGGACATCATCATTGACAACTCGATACAGCATCTAATTCGTGAACGTCTCCCGCGGCCGCGGCTAAATCATGAACGTCTCCCGCGGGCCGCAATCACGGGACGTCATCACAGGCACCCGAGGCCGCGGCAAAATCGTGAACATCTCCCTCGGTCCGCGGAGACATCATTATGGTCAGCTGTGATCGCGGCAAACTGGTGGTTTAAAATAAATTATTTGTTATTAATTTTATCTAAAAAATGTTTTTCCCAATCCTCTGCGGCCCCCTTTTGCTTGCGGCCCTAGGCCGCGGCCTAATCGGCCTAGTGGTAAATCCGGCACTGACCCAAAGTAGTCTATATTTATTATAGTACTGGACCCAAAAGTGTCGCAAACTCTTAGTTTTCTGGAATAAAAAAAAAATGGAACATAGGCCTATTTTATGACATAGCCTATAATTTAATTTTTAACTTTTAGCTGCAGAATTATAAAAAAATGATCCATGAATTATAGCTTTTTTTTTATTATATGTTTTGAAACGCGTGAAGAGGAGCACCAATAAAAAGAAATTGTGTAGCGAATCGCTACAATAGCGCAAGTCATTTACACTCATACTACTCCACATCATCACAATTGTATCAATTGAGTAATATTGTAAAGAGGTTATTTCGTTGTAAAAAATTTATTTATGTGAGAGTGCATCTCTCTTAAAATCTATTACAGAAATGGGTTATGTGTGGGAATGCCTATGTAGTTTTCAACATCAATCCAGATAAAGTCTCTTGTAAATAGGCTTCAGTTCTAAATACAGTAGTATAAAGTTTCTTATACGATAGTGTTTTTGACTAGATATTGTATTTCCAAAAACATCATCCTCATAATTTTCATTTAGTAGTATATTTCTCAGTGCACATGATAATATTAACAAATTCATAATAATAAATAATTATAGCCTACATGTTAAGTTAATATAATTTTATAATTGGGTAAATTTTAAGGTGGTACAGTAGTGGGTTGCCCGACCCAAAAGTTTGGGAACCGCTGCTCAACATGATTGCTGTAACGAAAATTGGGGATTTCCTTCTTTAAGGGTAAAAATTTGAAAATTCCCAATTTTTGAAAATCCCATGAGCCAATCCTGTTGGTTTGGGAACTCAATCAAGTTTATCCCACCCTATTACCTTCAAGCCAAATTGTATTAAAATCCCTTGAGTTATTGTGTTTACACACACACACACACACACACACACACACACATATATATATATATATATTTATATATATATATTAATTTGAATGAATGGTGTTTTTGGCCTCTGGGTGCATAGAAATGAAAAAGTAAATCGGTCCCCGGTCTAAAGTCCTACCATGCCAACTCTGATATAGAAAGATACAAGATACAAGATTCTTTATTTGGTCGATTGAACAGAAATACAGTTATAGACCACGTCAAATTGTTGAGTTAGGCTACAGATACATACAAATTGAAATATTGCATACAGTACAGGTACATATTGAATGGACATTTTTGGTTGACTAGATTTTGTAGGAATAGCTACTTCCCTATAGGAAAATTTGCTAAAACAACAAACCCTTTGGTGTATTTACTGCCTAGAATTTCTGAGAGCTTGAACTGGCATAGGCTGAACTGGGAAGTTTTTTGAGAAAACCTTTCCACTAGATATGCAAGATATAATAATCAGGAAGTGGGTAATAATCAGTTCTTAAATTCAGATTCAAAAAGTAAGTTTTAAGTGTTATAAGACGTTTCTTTTATTTACTTTCCGTAAATTTAATAACACGTACAATGCTGATCAAGAAGTTATTTAAAAAGTAAGTGGCATAGGTAGGGGGGGGGGGGGTCAGAGGGATATATCCTCCCTTGAACATATCAATTTAACCCTTCCAGGACTACAGGCATATATATCCGCTAGCATTTTGTGCATAGCGAACAGTAGGTGGATATATCCGCCGATTATTACACCAGTTATTGTTATGCTTGATTGTCTATAGCATCATTAATCTTCCAAAAAACCGTTCTTTTATTCAATTATATCTTTAACCAATGTACCGTACTAGGAATTTTTTTATAGAAAAATAAGAAATTTAATTTAAAAAAAATGTTATGAACCAAATTTTAAAAAATTAAAAAAAAGTAAAAAACAAAATTATTTTGGACAAAAGTGCTGCATAGGTTAACTATTTACAAAACATTCTATAAATTATAGATATAAAAAAATATTTTTTGTTTTGATTTAAATAAAAATAATTTTGCTGTCTGTATACATACTGTACTAGAGGCCGTCTCAGAAGGGTTAAACGATTGATATCTAATGGATATGAAGGAGGTGAAAAAAAACCTTTCTGAATTTTTTTTAGTTTTTAAATTCTGTTGCTGATATGTTGCAATAAAATAAATTTTGTTATCTTTTTAATTTTACCTCTATTATACAAGCTTGTTTTTCGTAGTATACTTTCAATATCTATAACTGGTACCAGATAAACTGCTATGCTGGTGGCAGTGGTACGGTATTTGCACGCCAAACAGTCAACCTCCTAAAAACCCCTCCTCCTTCTAACACCCCTTCGCCCACACTACGCTTGATCATACCTTCATAACACCACTAGTGTCGGCGTAAGACTGTCAGTCGTCTGATGTTAGTTGTGTGCGTGTGTGTTTGTTACTTTGCTTCAAATCAACTTTCAGTCTTTCACTGAATGTAAAATTTAGGGTTTTACGGGTTCAATTGAACTTCTTATACTGCATTGATATTTATAAACAATCATTAAGCTAATACAGTGTTAGCGGTTGTTTTTTATAAATATTCAACGTAGTGACAAAAATAACACAAAAAAAATTAAATACACAAATTAACAGCATAAAAATGCAGTTTAGAGGTGATTTGGTTCAAGCAGCGACCAAAGAACTTGAATGTTCAAATTTTTTTATTGTTTCGATTTTTAGATCCCTTTGTTCGCGATTTGTGTTGTTGCAGTCAAGGTCATTCCCCTGACCAACCCCTTCCCCATATCTTGTAGTTTGAGAGAGAAGTAGGCCTAAAACCCTCTGAGTTAATCACTATGCACAAATGACCATCTAATGCCTAATGCGTACATTTTCAGAGCACATACCTTCCGTAATTTACATTTTACATTGTCTAAAATTGTCAGTTCTTAGCAGGCGTGGCAATGCAACAATTAAATTAGGTGATTTTTGCCTTTAAAATAAAATTTTAAAAATATAAGTGTAAGTTAACATTTTTATCAAAATTCTAGTGTTCAAGGATTGAAAAAGCAAAATTTTATCATAAAACAAAAGAGCGTATGTAGTTTGTAAATAAATTTAATAAAAAAAAACTAGCTACCTACAAATGAAACAAAAAACTTGAATTCATTAAAAAAATTTTCATGCAATTTTATTGCTTATGCTTGGTAAATTAAATGCCAGATTTCACTTTCTAAATTCATAAAAATAGTGTTTAGAAAAGTTAATTATTCAACATTTTCCCGGGAGAGGACACCCGGACCTTGCCCGTTATCCACCCCTTGAAAAAAGTCTATCCACGCCACTGCAAAAAGTTACCTTAAAATCACAATACATTCTCACTTCGTTTTTAGGTTTCCCAACCTCAACAAACGTTTAAGTGTACTGCAACTACTACACTACTGTACTCAATGTTGTAATCTTTACAAAATATTGATTTATTATCCTTCAAACCCATTTATTCTTATTCCATTCCCTTAATAGTTCCGACACCCAACTTCAGACAAGGTTAAAAGTTCCCTTCAAATTCTTTATAGGAGAACCAGTTGAAAAGGAAAACCAACCCTTTACATTTATGTTAGATATTGTTTTTCAGAGGAAATTTTATATTTGTCAAAAACAATTATTAAAAGCTAAGCTCTAATTTTTAAAGGTTTTAGTTTTCATTATTGTTTCAGGGCCAAGCGAGACAAAAGGAGTCAGTTGACCATAGGTTGCAGAACCTAAATCTTGGCCAGGGTCAATCCTTCCTGGCTCGTCAGAGACAGCCTACGAGCCGACGGCCCCAGTCAAACTTCAACTCAAAATAGTATTTTCCTACAGTCACCTGACAAATTGGGCTGCACTGATATTAGTACAGAAAGTTGCTAATTGCTGCTTTTAATTACTTTTGCCACACTCATTTACTTTTGCCGCACTATTTTTTTTGCCGCACACTAGTATTTCAACCAAACAACACAAAACAGCGTGCTTTTATCAGGCACGTAATCCGCGTACGCTTGGAAATAGGTTGGCAACACTTAAAGATACTACGACTATGATCAGCTGGTCCAGCGTTTACTATTTCGTTCAACACTTGGATTTAACCTATCCGAAAAACTTGTTGTATAGTGTTGAAAAACTACTTTTTTATATTTATATGCTTTATAGTAACTGTAGGAAAAATATAATGTGTAACGCGAGTGCAAAGTGCCTTTGCTGCACTCAAAAAACTTTCCACACTCGCCTGCGGCACGTTACACAAATAACTATTTATTTTCAGCTTTAATCACCCTTAACCATTTTCAAAGTCACCTTTCTAGTGCCTTACGCCACTAGATTTTCTGTCAGGTGTCTGTGCTATGTTAAGCACCACATATTCTAAACTATCAATAGACTATCAATGTGCATGTAAAGGTTGTATTTGTTACAACATATATTTATATAGAAATGATTGATTCACATTAATGAACATACGTGTATTTATTGTTGAAAATGTCTGATATTATAGTCTAATGAGCATGATTAGGAATAATGAATTGTATTTAAAATAATTGTTGACTATTGATGTATTATATTAATTTTTAAACAATATGTTTCTATTCTATTGAACTTGATTTTAATATTGTTTATTACTTTTCAGTATTTTGTAGATATGTTGCCATGTTAATAAAAATAATTACATGAAACTTAAACAAATTTATTATATCCTATGATTACTTCAAAACTCTCAATTAATTCTTATTGATGATTAAATTTATTGTCATTCTGAACCAGTGGCAGTTGGGGATTGTAGCAATATCATATTCATTATTCAGACAATTAAATAACCACTGAAAATAATGGAGACAAACATTTTGATTTTACATAGTACGGTAAACATTCAACACTTCGACACTCGATAGTTCCAGGGCCGGATCTAGGAACCGCGAAACCCCAAAATGCGGGGGGCCCAAAGAGCTCATAAAATTTAAAATTATTTTAATGCATATAAACATAATTGAATAGGGCAGTAAGTTTAGTTTTGACAGACAAATCTTATCAATATCAAAGCTCAAGTTAAAATTATTAAGTAAATTTAGACCTACTGATTTTACTCGTCAACAACTCGGGACCTTTCCGTTGACAGTTTAATAGTGTCACTTTCAGTCTTTCCAGTCAGCTTGTCAGATCCACCCAGTGCGGGCTTCACAGATCCACTACGGTCCGATCGACGTGGACGTAGTGTCAACTTAGTCAACTATCAGTTGAGCGTTAAGCTCGAGCTGAGCAATAAGTCTGTAGTACAGGCCGGACTTATACTAACCTCTGTAGCGTTATCTAATGACCTCAGGGCCAGTGAGAGCCGTCACGGGCCCCTGGGCTGAGCGATGCCGGGCCCCCTATTTTCGCGATGTAGTGTCTAGCCGCCTCCGTGCCGTTTTGTTAAACATTTAACAATATATCTAAAATGCATGATAGTTTGATTAATTCTCTTGCTCATAGGTTCAACTTTGTTCTACTCAAACATTACTAAGTGAACTGGAAAACCATGCTAAAATCTCTGATTTTAGCAGATTACATGTACAGAAAAGATTTTACATTTGACCATGATTTGTATGTAGGCCTATCTATCTTGAAAATATAGTGTAAGTAGTACTAATACCCCTCAGTGTGGAGGGGGGCCGGGGGTCCTCCCCCAAAAATTTTTGGACATATTTTAGGCTATTTGGAAACCAAAATAAAAGAAATTACACGGATTCAGTGAACACGGTGAACATACTTGAAGGACCTTGTAATCGGCTAAGGCCTAGCACACACGATAGACTTTTTGTCGGCCGACTATTTAGTCGTAGTCGGGAGTCAAAGTCGGCCCCATAGTGGTAAATGTGAGCGTGCACACGGGCCGACTGCAGCAAGACAGTCGGCAGACTGTCTGCAGACAGTCGGGGCAGTTTGGTGCTGACCGATTTTCCCGCCGACTGCTCCCCGACTCAACTGTTGTGTCTTATTGATAAAGGCATGGAGATAATAATAATAATAATAATAATAATATATCTTTATTGTCGTTTGGTAATATAAACATTACAATAGACAAGGTCAACATGTTTTGTTACATATGTTATATAAAATATTAAATATTCTACAGAAAATGTTAAAATAAAGTTAAAAGAATCTTAAAAGGATAAAGCATCAGTAATAATAAAAACTTTGAAATTAACAGGGAAAAGACCATAACACGAACAAAGAATCATCAAGACTGCTTGGCCTCACATTTAAGCGTTGAAAAATCTACATTCTGCAAAAACTCCTCAACTGAATAAAAAGCACGACTTGTTAGCCAATCTGATAATTTTGACCTATACAAATGAATATTTTCCTGATTTCTAAAATATATTGGAAGTTTATTAAATAGTTTTATTTGCAAATATTTATAACTTTTGATAAATTTTGATAGCCTGGCTTGAGGAATGTATAAATCTTTTGATTGTCTGGTGATATACCCATGGATTGAGTTGCAAGGAACAAATTTATTCAGATTCTCTTTAACGGAAACTAAATTGTAAAAAATTAAAATATTAGAGAGTGTCATGATTTTATTTTCAGCAAAAAATGCTTTGCAACTAACCCTATCCGGAATTTCAAACATAATTCTGAGAGCCTTCTTTTGCCATGTAAGGACCCGGTGAGCTCCTGAGCTATTACCCCACAGTATATTGCCATACAGCAAGTGTGAGTGAAATAAACTGTGGTAAACAATTAGAAGTGTTGGTTTAGAAACACAATTTTTAAGTTTTCTTATCAAACAACATACTCTTGACAATTTTGAAATGATATTATTGGTATGTATTTCCCAAGTGAGTTTAGAGTCTATGGATATTCCGAGTAGTTTGACAGAAACTGCATTGTCTGCTTCAAGATTACGCAAAGTAAAACAAATTTTTTCTGTTTTATCATGATTTATTTCAAGAAAATTACTTTCAAACCAAAGCTTACCCAATTCAATGGCGTTTTCTATACTTTGGTTTGCAGAGTGAAAGTTGTCAGCTGATGAGATGAAGGTTGTGTCATCAGCATATAAAATTGTTTTGCAAGGTATGGAGTTTGGCAAATCATTAATAAAGAGAATAAACAAAACCGGACCCAGTACCGACCCTTGAGGAACCCCAGCAAGGACCTCCTTAAAATTTGACCTATCTTTTCCTAAATTAACAAATTGTAGTCTTCCACAGAGGTATGATTTTAAAAAAATTAGTTCGTGCTCCATTATTCCATAAAATTCTAATTTCTGCAAAAGAATTGTATGTAAGACCGAATCGAAGGCCTTGCTGAGGTCTAAAAGTGCCACACTAAGATAACCACCAGATTCAAAACTATCCAAAATATCAGACACCACCGATTCTATAGCCAAAGTAGTTGAACGACCCGGTCTGAAACCAAATTGGTTATTGTTTAAAATATTATTTAAGTTAAGAAAATCAAAGATCTGGGCTTTAGCACATAATTCAACTATTTTTGATAACACTGGAACCATTGAAATTGGTCTATAATTTGAAATAAGAAATTTATCTCCCTTCTTATAAAGAGGGATTGTTTTACTGATTTTTAAGCAATTTGGAAAGGCTGAAGTAGAAAACACCATATTAACAAGATGAATCAGTGGTTCCATAATGTAAGGAGCTATGAATTTTACAATTTTGTTTGAAAAACCGTAAGCATCTTCACTGTTTGATGGATTAAGAGATCTTATTATTTTTTTCATATCATTCTCTGTTACCAATTTCCACAAAAATTTATTTCTAGAACGATTAGCATTATTTAGAAAATTAGAGAAATCCAAACTCCTACCTTGCTCAACATGAGCCTTCTCTACCACCTTTTTCCCAACATCTATGTAATGGTTATTAAAATCATCTGCTGAAAAAGGTGGAACGGTATTATTATGTTTGAAAAAATCCCCACTTTCTGATTTTACTATTTGCCAAGCAGCCTTACATGTATTCCTTGAACTGCTAACAAATTTCTCATTATAATTAATCTTAGCCACTTTAATCATAGTCCTATATTTTTTCCTATAAACTGACAGAGTTCTCTTTAAATCATCATGTTTTGCTAAATTAGGCATTTTTGTTAAATCTGCAAGAAAAATAACAGTATCTCGCATTTTCCTTAGAGATTCATCAAACCATTTATTCTTTAATTTACTCTTATAATCATGCCTGATTTTCTTAGATATTCTAGGACAGTACAAATTAAAATAATAAACAATAGTATTTAAGAAATATTCAAAAGCAGTGTTTACATCCAGAGTATGAAAAATAGGCTCCCAATTTGCATTACACAAGCTCAATGCTAACATGCCAAGGTTCTCCTCATTAAGTTTACGAAAAGAAATTTCTTTGAGTACATTTGGTGCTATATTTTTAATTATAAGTTTAAAAAACAAAATGGGATGATCAGATATTTTATAATCCCACACCGTATGAGTGAATTGATGTTGATCAATATTTGTTGCGATATTATCAATACATTTATCCCCTTTGGTCGGGTATTTAAAAACATGATATAAGTTGAAAGATTTTAAAATACTTTTAAGCGATTCAGTACAATTGTCAGTTTTTAAAAAGTCAATATTAAAATCAGCTCCTAGTACAATTTTGCTAGAAGGTTTTTTTGACAGAACGAATGATAAAAGTTTTTCTAGATGATGAAAAAAAACATTACAATCTGAAACAGGCGTTCTGTATAGAGAAATGAAAACAATATCAAATTCATCAACATAAATACATGCAGCTTCAAAAAGGCTTGTGTACACAAAATGAGAAATATCAATCACATCATACATAAGTCCCTCACTAACCAATATAGACGCACCTCCATGGGGGTCATCCTGCCTGCAAAAAGATGCTGCAAGGGAAAAGCTTTTTGGTACATACAAATCTATTTCTTTTTTAAGCAACCAATGTTCGTTTATGAGTACAATATTGCATTTTGATTCCTCCAAAACTATTGCCAATTCAGGTAACTTATTTCTTAAAGACCGAACGTTAATATGAATTACATTTAAATTAATATCTTTTAAATTATTTAAAGCTGCTCCCTTTGCAGAAGAGGATGCCCCATTGGAGTTGCCTCTAAAAAAGAGGTGCTACAGATATTCACATCAGAAGCACTCACACTGGCACTCACACTAATTTTGGCCTTTTCACTATTCTTCCCACACTGTGACACTGCTGCTGGAGGTGGTAGGGGGCAGATGAAGTTGACAGACTAGTAGTTACATGAGGTACAGGCGAGCTGGACGCCTGTAGTTGGCATACTAGAGCAGGTCCGACTGGAGAGGGAGCGTCTTGTTCGTTGAGAGTAGGAGATTTTGTGCTACTTGGAGCAGTTGAGTGGTGCAGTGGTAGAGGTGGGTATTCTTTTACTGACTGAATATTCGGTGTAGCCAGCTTAGTTGCGAGGTTGTTGGAAGCAAGAGAATGTGATGAGGAAATCAGTTTCTTAATGCAGTCCACAAATCCTTTAAAAGACATTCCATTTCTGAGCGTTTCTGTGGTAATTTCATCGAGAGTAACAATTATGATTGAAGCTGAAGTGTTCTTTTGGAAATTAAGTAAATTTTTCATAAAATGGTGAGGTGAAACTCGGTCTCTAATACATCCCATGGGGGAGCAGA